TAGTGACCTGTGCTCGCACACAGGCTTCTTGGTGGCTGCAGCAGTAGCCTTAGCGTCTCATGCCTGTCTCTGGGGTCCGCACTGATAGCCGCTGCTCGTGCCTGTCTCTGGAGCTCCTTTAAGCAGCGCTCTTAATCCCCTCTCCTCGTGCACTGCGAAACAAAGAGGCAAGAAAAAGTTTCTTGCCTCTTCGGCAGTTCCAGACTTTTTCCCAGAGTCCCTCCTGGCTAGCTGTGGTGCCCCCTTCAGGCTGTGCTCACACAGCCAACCCTAGTCCTCTCCTTGGGATCTGACCTCCGAAGCTGGGGCCTCAGCTCCCAGCCCCCACCCGCCCTGGCGGGTGAGCAGGCTTTTGAGTGCTGGTCGGCACTGATCCTCTGTGCGGGCATCTCTCTGCTTTGCCCTCTGCACCCCTTTTGCTGCACTCTCCTCCATGGCTTTGAAAATTTCCCCCTGCCAGCCCCCCGTCTCTGCCAGTGAAGGGGCTTCTAGTGTGTGGAAACTTTTACTCCTTCACAGCTCCCTCCCAGAGGTGCTGGTCCCAACCCTATTCTTTTGTCTGTGTTTTTTCTTTTTCCCTACCCAGGTATGTGGGGAGTTTCTTCCCTTTTGGGAGGTCTGAGGTCTTCTGCCAGCATTCAGTAGATGTTCTGTAGGAGTTGTCCCACATGTAGATGTATTTCTGATGTATTTGTGCGGAGGAAGGTTATCTCCACATGCTACTCTTCCGCCATCTTGAAGGTCTCCCGTTCCATTGATTTTTTGTAGTGATGTGCTTTGATTCTCTTCTCATTTTATTTTCTGTATATTCTATAGATATATGTATTTTTTGTGGTCACCATTCCAATTATATGTTAACTTAAAGTTGTAGTTTCTGTTTTAATCTTATAACAACTTAACTTTGGTTGCATTCAAAAACGCTACTGCTCCTCCCCCACTTTTATGGTATTGTCACAAATTACGTCTTTAAATATTATATACCCATTAACATAGATTTTTGCTTTTAAAAATGTTTTCGTCCTTTAAGTTCTATGCTCCAATTTACAGTAGTAAGGCTATGTTAGTTAATGTATTTACCTTCACTGGAAAACCTTATATTTTCATTTGGCTTTGTATTGTTGTATATTGTCCTTTTATTTCAACTTGAAGGAATCCCTTTAGCATTTCTTGTGGAGCAGGTTAACTGTTAATGAATTCCCTTGGCTTTTGTTTATCTAGGAAAGTCTTAATTGTTCCTTCATTTTGAAAGACAGTTTTGCTGGATATAGTTTTTTTTTGTTGTTATTTTTGTTTTTTTGTGTGTTTTTTTTGCGGTACGCGGGCCTCTCACTGTTGTGGCCTCTCCCGTTGCGGAGCACAGGCTCCGGACGCGCAGGCTCAGCGGCCATGGCTCACAGGCCTAGCCGCTCCGTGGCATGTGAGATCTTCCTGGACCGGGGCACGAACCCGTGTCCCCTGCATCGGCAGGCGGACACTCAACCACTGCGCCACCAGGAAAGCCCCTGGATATAGTATTTTGATTAACAGTTTTTTGGTTTTTTTTTTACCCTAGCACTTGGAATATATTATCTCATTGCCTTCTGTCCTGCTAAATTTATGCTGAGAAATCCACTGATAATCTTATGGAAGCTCCCTTGTATGTGATGAATTGCTTTTCTCTTGCTGCTTCCAAGGTTCTCTCTTTGTCTTTTACTTTAGGCAGTTTGGTTATAATGTGTCTCTGTTTGGTTCTCTATGGGTTTATCCGAGTTAGAATTGTTTGAGCTGTTAAAATCTGTATATCCATTTCTTTCCTCAGATTTGGGAAATTTTGGGCCATTATTTTTTCATATAAGCTCTCTTCCCTTTTCTCTGTTTCTTCTTCAGAGAGTTCCATAATGTATCTATTTGTCTACTTGTTTGTATGCTTACGTCTTTTAGGCTCTTTTTACTTTCTTTTTCTTTTTGTTCCTCTGAATCCATGAATTCAAATAACGGGTCTAAGTTCTCTGATTCTTTCTTTTACTTGACCAAATCTGCTGTTGAAGTCCTATAATAAATATTTCAATTTAGTTATTTTTTCAGCTCTAGAATTTGTGTTTGGTTCTTTTTTTTTAAAAGAAAGTTTCTATCTCTTTATTTATATTCTCATTTTGTTAATGCATCATTTTCCTGATTTCATTTAGTTGTCTGTCTGTGTTCTCTTTTAGCTGATTGAACATCTTTTCTATAGTTACTTTAAATTCCTTGTCAGGCAGCTCATAGATCTGCAATTCTATAGGGTTGGTTTCTGGTGTATAATTTCCTACCTTAGATTGTGCCATGTTCCTCTGTTTCTTTGTATGCCTTGTAATTTCTTGTTGGATTCAGACTTGTGAAGAACCAACCACCACTCCCAGTCTTTGTGTACTGGGTTTAAGCAGGGGTAGCCCTTTACCAATCAGCCTGGTTAGCAGTTCTAGGACCTTTCAAAATTTTCTGATCTCTTGCTCTCCTTGGTGTCTCTCTGTGGAACTACAGCTCTAATGTGCTGCTTGCCTCTTTTCAGTGGTTCCAAACTCTGGCACTGGTACTGTCAGCACTTAATATAAGAGTCAAGCAAGGGGCTTCCCTGGTGGCGCAGTGGTTGAGAACCGGCCTGCTAATGCAGGGGACACAGGTTCGAGTCCTGGTCTGGGAGGACTCCACATGCCGCGCAGCGACTAGGCCCGTGAGCCACAACTACTGAGCCTGCGCGTCTGGAGCCTGTGCTCCGCAACAAGAGAGGCTGCCACAGTGAGAGGCCTGCGCACTGCGATGAAGAGTGGCCCCCACTTGCCACAACTAGAGAAAGCCCTCGCACAGAAATGAAGACCCAACACAGCCTAAAATAAATAAATAAATAAAAAGAAGGTAAGAAGGTTAGCTATAAACCCTGGCCCTCTTTAAAAAAAAAAGAGTCAAGCAAGACCAAGTCTGGCAAGACAGAAATCTGTCCCTTGGGCAGCCTCTATACAAGCCAGAAAATTGGATGCCAAAGTCCACTTTTTGTTTCCATGCTGAGGGAAGAGCCCTGGTATGGATTTTGCTCCTGGATACTCCGTACTATGCTGCATAGGGTGAGGGACATGAACAGGTGTGCCAAGTGCTACACATTTTTCTACCCCTTCCACTGGAATCTCTTACTGGCTATACAATGGCTATAGTTTCTCAACTGGTCTCTAGAGTTCTCACAGAGGTATTCTGGTTCATATATTGTTGTTAATTCAGAATCTCTGTGAAAGAAAGAAAGTCTGTACCTTCATAGTCCACCGTCTTTCTAGAAATAACATTTTAAAGGAAAAGCATTTTTAGGGTATAGTACTGTCTGTAAATAATGATCTCTTATTCTGTTCTATTATGAAATGAAATATTTTGAAATTCATTTATTTTCATGTTCAGTTTATCCTGACCTGCACTATTGCTATATCAATTTATCCTAGGGGAAGACAGTCTCATTTTTGAGTTTCTTAAAGTCAAGTTAACTATTGGCCTATATACTTCCAACCTCATATTTTTGTATGCTTAAATTTTTTTTTAAAAAGGAGATTATTTTTTGTTAAGGATAACAGGCTACTGACTAGATTTGCTCTGTGTGTGTGTGTGTGTGTGTGTGTGTGTGTGTGTGTGTGTGTGTGTATCAAGGAAACCATGGGAAGAGCTGGTGTCTTTTCTCCATACTTATCAGAAGTGGGATGCCTTCCTTTGAGAATAGTGGGAAATAGGATCTCTGTGTTAGTTGGAATTCATTTACAGATGCACTGAAATCAGGAAAGGGGTCATTTTATGGGGAATGATCCATTGGCTTTAGTAAACTACAAATGGTTATTGGTTGCTACTGTTTCCCACTGTCAAAGGTCATTGTGTGATTACGCTAGTAAATTTGTATCTACTACTTACCTTAAGGTAACGATTATGGGTTGAATTGTGTCACCCTCAAAAAGATATGTTGGAGTCCTAACCTCTAGTACCTCTGACTGTGACCTTATTTGGAGATAGGGTCTTTACAGAGGTAATCAAATTAAAATGAGGTCATTAGGGTTGGACCTAATCCAGTGTGACTGGTATCCTTATATAAAAGGGAAATTTGGACACAGAGATAGACATGTACACAGGGAGAATGCCATATGAAAATGAAGGCAGAGATTGGGGTGATGTCTCTACAAGCCAAGAAACACCAAAGATTGTCAGCAAACCACCAGAAACTGGGAGAAAGGCATGAAACAGATTTTTCCTTTAAAGTTTTCAGAAGGCACTGGCTCTGCCAGCACCCGATCTTAGACTTCTTGCTTCCAGAATTGTGAGACAATAAATTGCTGTTGTTTGATACCTTTTTTGTGGTATTTTGTTAAAGCAGGCCCAGGAAACTAATACGGTAACCTCTTATATTATGTTGCAGATTTTTTTTCCTAAAACCTTTATAAATGATTATCAAAGATGTTCAGTATCCATTACTGTAAACACATCCTGGGGTATATATGTTTATATGTTATCACGTGTCAGTATGTGTGGCTGAACCACACACTCCATTTTGTCAGCTCCATCTAAGGTCTTCAGTCCTATCCCCTCCCCTTTCTGTGTGACTGAGCTTTCACCTACTCACAAGAAATGTGCCCAAGCCAGATAAGTTCCCTATCAGCTTTTTGTTTTGTCTTGTTTGTTGTTTGTTTCTATTTTTGGCTGTGTTGGGGCTTTGTTGCTGTGCTCGGGCTTTCTCTAGCTGCGGCAGGGGCCACTCTTTGCTGCAGTGCACGGGCCTCTCATTGTTGTGGCCTCTCTTGCTGCAGAGCAAAGGCTCTTGGCACGCGGGCTTCAATAGTTGTGGCACGTGGGCTCTAGAGCGCAGGCTCAATAGCTGTGGCGCACGGGCTTAGTTGCTCCATGGCATGTGGGATCTTCCCAGGCCAGGGATCGAACCCATGTCCCTTGCATTGGCAGGTGGACTCTAAACCACTGCGCCACCGGGGAAGCCCTCCCTATCAGCTTTTACTCTTGTCTTCAACTGGAAGAATGCCTTTTGCTGACACAGATGGTTAATGGTCATGAGACCCCTGGGGGGAGTAACCACCCGCCCCCTCCCTGTTCTTGATTCTCATGGGTGCAGAAGTGCTTCTCACTTTGTAGTCAGATTCTGTTTTTAGCCTTGGCCTCTTTAAATCTCCTTGTACCCCTTATGTTGGCAGAGCACAGCTGCAATGCCTCTTGATCATCGTCTTCCCAATCCTGCCTGTATGTAAGTTACCCACAACAAACTTCATAATTCCATTTTATGGAGTTTCCTGCTTCATTTTTTAGTCTCAAAGTTCTATCACAGTTTGGAGGATATTAATTAGATATCTCCACCTTTCAACATAATGCTGGAGAGTCAACCTAAAATTTCTCTACTCTTACCTCATTCAAATGTTTTAATATGTATTGTGTTGGCATGCAGATATGCAAGGTTCTTTTGTGATTTGCGGTACAATATTTGGTAGAATGAATTGATAAATTTTGTGAAATCTTTTAGAGTTACCATCATCTTTGCTTTTCCCTTAAGAGATGTTTAGGTAGGACTCAATCTCATAATTGTGTAAAGGACAATTTTGGAAGGTAAATGATTATGGTCAAATAAGAAAGACTAGCAATGTCAACATGTCTAGTTCTATCGAAAATTTTTTTCTGTCTTAAAAGGATTTGACTGGTCAAATCAGGCTTTTTCCTTAAGATATTATTTTGCAGCGTGAATCACTATTACTTTAACTCACTCAACTTTGGGTTAAATCAAATTTGCTGAGCAAGATAATACAGTTATTTGTGTGCACAACAGTAAGGGAAAAAAGAATGAATGGCATGTAACAGATGCTGTGCTTACAAATGTCAAAGTTTTCAATGAACCCATGACTTTAAAAGGTCATATACCATTTTATAGTTACACCTTTTAAACTCAGTAATAAATATAGGATATGTGCTATACTTTCTACTCTAAATGCATTGGTTTCCCAATTTTCCATGTCAAAGAATGGCTTTACCATCTGCCACTGTTTTATAGCATTCCTTCAAACCCAGGCTTTTCTTCTTTTCTGATGTGTTTGTTAACTTTCAGGAGGTGCTATCACTAAGACCTCACATTGTGGAGTTGTTTTATAGTATTTGGACAGTAGTGATATGAGTGATTGGTTTGGAACAACCTTCAATGTCAGAAATAAATTTGGAGAAGAATTATGTGAACTCTAAGATCATTGTTGAAATTCTGGTCAGTATAATTAAGTAAGCAGATTATGCTATATTCCTTTTGTGCATGCAAACTAGATCAAACCGTAGTTGTTTTGTTTAAAATTTCTATATCCCTGTTTATATTTGAGTACTTTATTTGTCATGAACTGAGAGAATATTATAACCCCCTACTGTGATTGTAGATTTATTTTTGCATTTCTATCAGATTTTACATTTTTTTTTTTTTTTTTTGCAGTACGTGGGCCTCTCACTGTTGTGGCCTCTCCTGTTGTGGAGCACAGGCTCCGGATGCGCAGGCTTAGCGGCCATAGCTCACGGGCCTAGCCGCTCTGCGGCATGTGGGATCTTCCCGGACCAGGGCACAAACCCGCGTCCCCTGCATTGGCAGGCGGACTCTCAACCACTGCGCCACCTGGGAAGCCCAGATTTTACATATTTTAAGACTATGCTTAGAATTTCATATTTCTTGACCATATGTTTATCGTGTGAAATGCCTAACTATATATATACATATCTACTGTTTATTTTGACCTTTAATTATACTTCGATTTACTATACTTACTTTACTTTAAAAATTCTCTTAACGTCTCTATATTTTTCTGTGTTATTTTGTTTTGGATGTGTCCTGGATAGATAGCTTATAGCTGAGTTCAATAATGCAACATGATTTTCTACTTTTAATAGAGGACTTTATGTAACTTGCCATTTGTTGCCATTGCTGATATGTCTGGAAATTATTTTTGACATGTTAATTTGTAGTATCTATTTTATATACTTTAAAATTATTTATTCCTTTCATCTTCCCAATTTTCTGCTCTGTTTTTCAGTACGCGGGCCTCTCACTGCTGTGGCCTCTCCCGTTGCGGAGCACAGGCTCCGGACGTGCAGGCTCAGTGACCATAGCTCACGGGCCCAGCCGCTCCGCGGCATGTGGGATCTTCCCGGACTGGGGCACGAACCCGTGTCCCCTGCATCAGCAGGCAGACTCTCAACCACTGTGCCACCAGGGAAGCCCTCTGCTCTGGTTTTGATCAAAATATTTGTGTTCTGGTTTTTCCTTCTTATTAGGAAATTATACATCCTATTCCTCTAGACTCCAGAGGTTAACCTTTATTTTTTAAGACATACATTTAAACATATTTTTCTATCAGTATCCAAAACAAATCAGTAAATGTATCCTTGCTGAACAAAGCAGGAACCTCAGTAGTTTTTACTTTATTCTACCTTCTCTCAGCCTCTTGCTCCCATGTTGAGATCATCAGAGATAATAGTTACAGATCATTATTATTTACTATTAAAATTTGCTTAGCTAAGGTTTTATTGGTTTCATTGCTAGTTATTGTTTCTTCTTTATTTCTTAGAGTCTCTTTATTTGCTTGTTTTTCTGGTTTATTTGCTTGTTTTATTTGCTTGATTCTCCTACCCCACCCCCAGCTTTATTGAGGCATAATTGACAAAAGTTGTATATATTTAAGATGTACAGTTTGGTGTTTTGATATGCCACATATTGTTTCCAGAGGGTTTATAGGAAATAACATTTCTTTATCCTTGGGGATCTGAAAATATATTTACTTTGCTTTCATATTCAAATAACATTTTGATTGAATATAGAAAATTTTAGATTCAAAATAATTTTCATTCAGAGCTTTGAAGATATTTCTCACATGTCTTCTTGCATCTAGAGTTGACATGATGTGATACCAGTCAGATTCTTTTTTTTTTTTTTTTGGTAAATAACCCCCATCTTTTTCTCAAAGCTTTTACTATTTTGACTTTATATAAAAAATGTGTCCAAATGTGAGTCCTTTTATGTTCATCCTCCTCATTCCTTCAATTTCAAGACCAGAGTCTTTCTTCAATTACAGGAGTGTGTCTTCCATTATTTTTCTTTATTTTCCCTGCTCCATTTTTCTCTGGTCATTTCTTATGGAACTTTGATAGATGAAGGCTGGATCTTCTGGATTTATCCTCCATGTAGTTTACAATTTTTATACCATTTATTTGGAAATAATTTCAAACTTACAGGAACAATGCAGGAAAAGTACAAAGTACTTCTGCATAGCCTCCCACCAGATTTAGAAGCTGTTGACCGCTTGCCCCATTTGCTTTATCATTCTTTCTCTTTGTATGTATATAATTTTTTTTTCTAGAACCATTTGAAAGTCACAGAGTTAGTTTTCTATTACCCCTAAACACTTTAGTGTGTAATTCCTAAGAGCACAAGGGTGTTCTCTTTTATAACCATGTTATAATGAATTAAAATCAGGAAAATTTAACATTGATATACTAGTACTAGCTAATTAAAAATGTTTTAATATATTTCATCTTTTTGTCCTATTTGTAATATAGTGTGGGTATCTTTAATTTTTAGCTGTGTTCATTCTTTTTGTTTTCTAGCCCATATATTGAGTTTTTATTTTGACAATTGCATTTTTCATTTGCAAGATCTCTAACTGATTCTTTTTTATAGCCTGACTCTTGTTTCATCATAGTTTGTCCTTTCTTATTTCATTAAGGTTATTAATTAAATTTATTTTAAATTTACTTTGTTTCCTCTAATATTTATTCTTACTTAGTTCATGTGTTCTCATTTCTTCTGTTTAATTCTTCTCTTTTATTGTGTTGTTTTCCTTAAATATTTTGGTGATTTTTGGTTGTGCGTTCATCTTTGTATTTGAGAGTCCCTGTGATCAGCCAGTGAATGTTGTTTCTGTTTACCACAGCTTGGTTCAGTTATTGTGGGGAAGGGTGAGCCAGTAGCCAGTATTCTGTTTCTGGATATTTCTTATTTCTCCTAGATGGTGCCAGCCACCAGAAACCTTGACTTTCCTTGGCAAGGTATGCATTCATACTAACTACTCTTCCCAGAGACAGCTGACTTTGTTATGGATTGATTGGTCCAGTAGTAGAAGGGGAGGTTGTGTCAATTATCTGTGGTTGTAACATCAACAAAAAAACCTCTCCAGAACTTAGTGGCTTAATACAACAGCACAGTTATTTAGCTGACAGTTTTGTGGGTCTGATGGGTGGTGCATCTGGTCTAGGCTGCTCTGCTTTTCTCTGCTGATCTTGTTCACACTTCTGTGACCAACAAGTGGTTCTGTGGCTTTACTATTCTGCTGTCAGTTGGTAGGTTGGTTGCAGAACTGGTCTCAAATGGTCTCACTCACATGTCTGGCAGTTGGCTGAACACCTTGAGTCTACTCCATGAGGGCTCATCCTTTAGAAGGCCAGCTGGGGCTTGTTCACATGGTTGTCTCAGGGTTCTAAGTATAAGAAAACAAGATTTTCAATCACATTTGCTTGTATCATATTTGCTAATGTCCATTGACTGAAGCAAGTCAAATGGTCAACTCAGATTCAGAGTGTGGGGAAATAGATTCCACTTCTTGATGGGAGGAGCTGCAATATCACACTGCAAGGGTGTGAATGTTGGAAGGGAAAGATTTGTGATAATCCTAACAATTTGCCCCAGAGTTGCTGACCCACCTGGATGCACTAAATGTGGTTCTCCTAACAATGATCTGAGCAGTTTTCCAGACCCTCTCCTCCCACCAGTTTTTGCCACTTCAGCGCCTGGAGTACTCCTGGCATCTCTCCATCTCATAGTTTCTGTCTTTTCTGTGCTTGGACTATGCTTTCCTTCATATTTCCGACTCCATCTGCCTTCTGATTTTTAGGATTTCTTTGTTACTTAGAATATGCTGAGGGCCTTTGTTCTTATTCTCTAGAGTTCATATGGATTTTTTCTTTTTTAAAAATAAAATATTAAAAAATTAATTCTAAGTATATTTTAGGCA